TTTTTTTCAGTATGCTTATGATAAAAATTTACCAACTAATTAAAGTTATAATTTATTCTTCAAAAATCTTCTCTGATTAAAAATAGCTGTTTTTCAAAAAAAATAATAATTTGTACAATTTATGCAATTCAAATTCCAGCAAGAATTTGAATTGCATAAATTGTACAAATTTTAATTTGTTGTATTCACATATATTTTGTTTAATTTGAATGTTTGTATATCAGCTCACATTTTCTCACCATTTTTTCAAGCTAACAACATAAAATGATTGTAATTTATGTTAGTAAATTCAAAAATATAATTGTGCTCATCAATTTTTCTTCGTGATGATTTTATGTATTTGCTAAATGCTTTTAGTTCTTTTAAAAGATATCATAAATTTTGTATTTTAAATTTGTTTTATTCTGTTGGCTAGTAATAAGAGAAGAAAATATAAATAATAAGTAATAAAATATGAAAAAATAAAGTAAATATCTTTAAGAGCAGTGATACTACTGAAGATTTATTTTCATGCAATTCTGGCTGATCATTACCACTCTTCATATTCAAATTTTTTTTTTTTACACACAAGGAAAATACAGTAACATCAATTATTAAATTATTGAAATTACAAAATAAAGTGAAAAAATTAAAATTTTGCAATGGTAATAATTTTTTGTATAAAAATCTTAAACTCAATTTCTTGGATCAAAACATCCAATTGTAACAATTAGGTTTTGTAGTTGTGGTTAGGAATGGTCATTTTATTGCTAATGTTAATTAATAAGTTAATATTTTAATTATAACAAATAAACATTGCACTGCATCAAATTTAAATCCACATTATTATACTCTAATATGCCAATGTATACATTTTGAATCACTGACAGTTGTTTATTTTTCTTATTCTAATGAACAAATTTATTTGTAAGGTATGTTTGTTTTTGAAGTATATTTTTAGCAAAATTATTCTGAAATATATTTTTATCATTAAAAATTTTTCTCTTTTGAAATATTTCGTATCATTTAAAGACATATATATGAGCGCTGTTGAGCTTAGCTCGTAAACATAAATTCCAATTGACATTACATTAATTGTACATACTTTAGATAAATTTCAGTGACTATTTCTAAACATTGTATTTCTTATCAGTTGCATGAATAAATTATCAGATGAAAAACAATTATTGCATAATGTTTGCTTGTCACGTTACTTCTAAATATACACTTCTTATTTTTAATTCATTCAATTCGTTACTTTTACTAATTTTCAAGACATATTAGTTGATATACTGCAGAAGCTTTTAATAAAAATTTCTGATTTGAATCTTTGGCTGATCTTTGCTGTAACATTTAATTATATATTGTTTTAATTAACAAGAAGCAATGATAAAAAATAAAAAATGTTTGCTAAAGAAAAAAGGTTTATTTTATTTTATCAAATATTCATATTATGTTATTATAGTAAATTATTTTGTAGTAATCATGTCTGCTATATTGTTTCCCATTACCATCACAGTAATTTTGCTTCGAATTAACTTATCGGCCGGTTTCAACTCAAAATATCTATTCTGTGAACCCTGTAAATCTTTGGTGCAACAAATTAATCAGGCATTAAACTTCGCATTTGTTTGGGCCTACCATGTATGATTTCGCTATTGATTACTTCAAAAAAAATTTGCATACAGTTTTTCCTGACAAGAAAACTTAAAAATAATTCTAAGATATTTTACAGAATTAAGTAAAATTTTTGAGATTAAGACAGTCAATTGCATATATCAACATATCAATTTTAGTTTTTTTTTCTATCACTTAATTAATATTTAGCTAAAAGCAACTGAAATATGATATTCTAATTGAATCATTAATCTCAATTATTATTTAAAATTTTATTTATAGAAGCTTGATGGTTTCTGCGAAGAGTTATACGAAAGTGAAACTGAAAGAAGTAATTGTGAAACAATGGGTTCCCATATAATTGATAAATCACAAATATACTTTGCAAACTCAACCGATGCCAATAATTTGTGTAATATTATGAATATCTGTTGACATTTTTATTTTTGATAATTGAAGAACAATAAAGTTGTTTTTAAATCAGTTCGAACAGCATTTTGAAGTGATAGTGACTACGAATTTCGGAATGAACTTTTTGGCAAGAGATTCGAAAAAACTTGCTAATATCACAGAATATATCAGTAAGAAACTATTATTTCTTCGCATTTATGCTAATTTTCGTTATTTTATAAAAGTAAAAAAGTATGAGATAGATAATGCCTGTTGCAATAAATAGTGAAGGCATTATTAAAGTGCTTCAAGTAAATAAAACTAAAAGGCAAGTAAGTAAAATAAAACAAGCAAATTAAATTTCTTGTCATTTTTCTTTAAAAGTTAATTCACTTTTCAATTTTCAAGAGGAGAGCATTGTTGACTTTATTAACACTTTCTAAAATAAGAAACTTTTTTACTCAAAATTACTCCAAAATTAGTTACTTGTAGAACGTTGCATACTTATAAAATTGGTTGCCAAAAATATTAAATGATAAATGCATATTTCCTTCATGCATGCATTTTTTAAATACTGGCAATTGCTGTTTGTTAAAGTTCAAGAAATTACCACAAACTTTCTGCAATGTTTGCTCACATTGTCGACATGAATCAAATTTTTAAACAAGAAGAAAATGCACCAATTTTTTTGAATAAATTTATTTTTTTCTTTCAAAAACCTTGCGTTACCTAGAGAACCAGTAATTAAATTGAAAATTTTAATCGTTAATTGGAACGAATTGAAATTTTGTTTAGTATAAAAATTCATATTTGTTATTTGTGTTTTATTAAATCCTAAAAATAGCCCTCAACTTTGCTATATGAATGATAACTGTTATAACAATCTTGAAGTATTAACAAGTATAGCTTAAAAATGGTATATTTTTTGGCTAGAAATACTAGCATAAATTTATCCCTT